AAACTAATAAAATTTAATAATAATTTTAAAAAGTGGTTATTAAGAACAAAGAGAAAAATTCTGATAAATCAACTGTGGAAGGCCAAATGAAGTAGGTTGTAAAAAAAAAAAAACCCAAAACCACAGAAAACAACAACTATGTGTTCTAATGTATAACTAATCGTGGTCTTCTTTAATTTTGTCTAAAGACCAGGTCTATGGGCATAATTTGTAAAATGCCCTTTCATACACCATCTGTTTGGGTTTTCCGTACAATTCCCTACAAACTACGTCATCAGAGTTCCTTTCATGGACCATCTCTCATTGAAAATGTGCAGTGCTGGCTCAGAGGGGTTGACATGCGAAGTCTGGCTTCACTACCTATGAACTAGCTCCATTATGAGCCTCTTCTATGGTTAGAACTACAGCGGACACATGAGAGATATCTGTGAATAAGTACCTCCTCCCTGAACTCTTTCTGATACAGAAGAAGGAGGTAATAGCTGTGCTTTCCAGGACTGTGGTGCTGAGCGGATGTAAACACATATGCTCCATGAGTAATGACTCTGATGCCGCCTTCAAGCCTCTTCTTTCCTTGACTTGCAGGACCTCACAAGCTCTGGATTCCTCTACCCCACGTCTGCTGCTCTCCGCAGGCTGTGTGGGTTCTGACCTCATCGTACTGGAAGCATCCACCATGTAGGACTCCACGCATCAGTATGTGGGTTCTGTTCTTATGGATATGTGCTTATTCTTCCCAGATGTAATCAACTCTTATGGCTTTAATACTTTCTTTCAAACAACAACTCCAAAACTGATAGCTACAGCCCAAATCCCCCCGAAACAAAGACGTTAAAGTGTGTATCTGCTGATATCTCCAAGTGTTATCTCATAACTGTGTCCAGTCGAAACCTACCTAAAAGTAAACCCGTGATCTTCTGCCCCAATCTCATCATTTCCTCAGTGCCTTATTTCTAGCTAAATGCATCTACTCACACTAGATTTTCTCTCCAGCACCCCAGATGCAAGCAACCAGCAAGTGACACCTTTACAATATATTACAAATCTTACACCTTCTCATCACTCTTTATCTGTCATCCTCTCTTGCAACATGGAAGTCTCTCAGCTGGTCTCTCTGCCACAGTTCTCGCTTCCTCTCTAGTCAATAGTCACACAGAACCAAAAGTTGACGCTGTAAACTCTACCAGGTCATGTGACCCCCAAGACAGCCAAGACCCATGATCACGGACATCCAGGTTCCCAGCCCTCGCCAGATTCTAAAGAGAAATACTGTACCTCCCTACAACTTGAAATTAGGCATGGGAGAAGAGATGCACCGACCAATGTGATGTTAATCACTTTTAAAGAGAAATACTTCAAACGCCTCAGTTCAATTCTTCCTTTCCTGCAGTGCACAGAAAAACATTCACTGGTTTGTGGAGAGGTCCACATTAAGAGTCTACTTACTAAATTAACATTTATCAAAATCAGATCTTGAAAGGATTAGATCAGTAATATATCTTTCTCAGTAAGCGTTTCCCTTTTTTGGCAAAGATTCTTTTCTCATCATTATCTGTACCGCTACTGCAGTATTTTCAAACACAGTATGTTTGTTCTGAATAGCCCATGGACTGCCAAAAGACCAAAAAATAAATGTCTTGGAAAAAGTGTGTGTGTGTGTGTGTGTATACACATTTATACACATATATACATACATACACCCACACACATATATAAATAAGTGTATCCAAGAGTGCTCCTTAGAGGCAAAGATGGCCAAGTCTTGACTCACATACTTGGGGCATGTTGTTTGGTCAGTGAAAGAGAGGAGGACCCGCCATGAGATGGGCTGACACAGTGACCGCGGCAATGGGCTCAAGTGTGTTGGAGATGATGAGGACGGCACAGGACAAGGCAGAGCTCAGATCTGCTGTGCACAGGATTTCACACTTGACTCGATGACACCTCACAGTAATATATCACATTTGTAAATGCACCCACCTCCAGGGCTGCTGCCAGTCAGAATCAACTTCATGACAGTGGGTTTGGTTAGGAGGGTCCTGCCACAAGACCACCTTCATAGCCCCACCTAACAAGTATCACTGGACATGCTCTTAAGAGGAGCACTCCGAGCAAGGAAGGGCCTGGTTCAATCACGTCAATCAGATTCACTGAATTCCTTCTGAGAAATCAACGCAGCACCCCCTCCTTAAATCGCCAGGTTGTTTAATAACTGAGATGAAATTCTGAAATGTTTCCGTCTCAAACACGCTCAGCAACTGCCTTAAGTGCAGTGAGAACTCAAGAGGCAGAACAAGGAATCTGGTTTGAGGACCATGATAGTGGTTAACAAGGGTCACAGCAGTCCAGTGAAAGGAGGAGACCAAGCAGCCTTCTAATTGTCACCACATTAAAAATCCATGACGCCTGCAATGGACGTCAGCATTTCAGCTGAGATATTAGAAAAGAGAAAAAGCAGCTCTGGTTACTGCCCAAGTTCACTCAGAAGTGGTTCAGAAAAACACAAAAGAAAGGCTCCATGAGCTGAACAGGCAGGATACGCACGTCGGCTCTCCCGCAAATGTCGCTCCGCAGCCCTGGCGCCCTCGGCGGCCCCGACACCCTCCGCCCGAGGTCCTGACAATGGCCCCTCACTGTGTTTGCTTTGGGAGGCTGGAGAACAAGCTGCCTGTTCTCATCAACCACCGCCGATGGAAGTGTCGCAGCAGCAAAAGACAAACACATCTGCTTTTTGTTAATTTGAAATGAGAACGTATTTAACAATAAAATGAAGTACAATAATACGCATGATTAACAGCATACCTATCTGTGAACTTACTATCCAGTTTAAGAAAGCAGGTACAATATACAGATAGAGGTTCCCTGACTCTGCCATCCCCATAATTCTATCTAATCCCAGTATCTCCCCTCCATTATCTTGATTTTGGAATTTCATCTTCACAGTTGGTGTTTATACATTTATTATATATAGAAGGAATCCATAGGGCACAACAGAGTAAAGCCTGACTGCTAAATGGAAGGTTGGTAGTTCAAATCCATTGTGTAGCTCTGCAGGAGAAAGACTTGGTGGTCTGCTTCCATAAAAATTACAGACAAGAACTGAAGTTTTATGTTAGAAACAAAAAAAAAAAAATTACAGACAAGAAAAACCCTCATGTTAGTCTTATTAAGTCCCCCCAGTGTAGAATGAGTTGGCATCTATTTCATGGCATCCAACAAGTTCTACGTGTATTTATAAACAATACAAACTTGGGAGTACGTATTGATGAACAGCAAAGACTGCATTCTTTAGTACAGATTACTACACAAAATGGATTTACCTCCACACACACCAAAAATCCTCAGAAACAAAGGTGGTTGTTGTTATGTGCCATTGAGTCATTTGCGACTCATAGCGACCCTATGCACAACAGCTCTAAACCCTGCTCTATCCTGCGCCAACCGCACTGCCCCTGACACACCCATCCCGATTACCCCAGTCACCGAATCAATCCATCTCATAGAGGGTCTTCCCCTCCTGCGCTGTCCCTCCACCCTCCCAAG